TTCTATGAGGCCATAGTGAAATGTAAATACGAAAAGGAAAGAATGTCATAAGAAATTTTACCACTCCAATAAATACGTAGTTTCAACTCAGACAATGAGATGGCAGCACTAAATTGGTTTCTTTCCAGACGAAACAGCCCAGTATTTGAAATACAGAAAATTATTTAAGTTATGGAATGGATGGAATTAAAAAAAGAATATCTTTAGAGGGTATAATAAAAAATAAACTTTTGACAAATTGGTAAAAAATTAAATAGATTACTTGTTTAAACTGTAAATGAAAGTGCAAATGGCAGCTTCGCAATTTAAAAATATAGATATTTGTTTATTGTTACTAGTTGAGAGTACCCGATAAGGAAACAAAAGTGATATAAAGGACGACGTTAGATAACGTTCCCCTTTCTTCCTTGTTATTAAATCCCTAATGATCTTATTAGACGCTAATTGCACACTCTGATTTGTGGAAGGTAATAATTGACACATTTAATTGATTAGGTATTTTTGTCTTTAAATCCAAAGCCAAAAGTTTATAAAAAAAAAGTGGAAATTTGCCTATTTCAGTGTATTTTATTTCCTTCTCAGGCAAAGATCCTAAAACAATATAACCCATTTACACCGTCAGACAATTTCCAGTTACCACACACACACACACACACACACACACAAATTAAGGTAATAGAACAAATGAACTCTGGGTAATGGATGCTAACACATACAGACACACACTCATCATAGATCATCTTTATAGTAAGAAGTACAAAGATACACAACGGTCTATCTTGTTCTACTGATCACGAGCATCGAAACCCGATGTTTAGAGTTATAAGTCCTCAGGCTTGCAATTAAACCATCGTATGGAAATTTAATGTTATTACAAGTATTTACCTTGCATCTCTATCTGTCTCACAAAAACAAAGGAAATGGTAAGTAAACGCTGATATTGCACAGCCATTGATTAATACATTATATATTTTACACCCATGATATTTTAATTCACTTTAATGGAGTAAAAAAATAACTTGTATAATTTCCTTATCACAGTGTGTAAGACGAAGATTGGCAGCTTGTATAGAATAATAATGTGTCGGTTTGACTAAGCTTTAGGTTTAAGGGCCATTTAACACACTTTCTTAAGGTGACAAGTATTATTGACTTAAGGCGTAATTAGAGTAATATAATACTATTTTAAATATAAGTAAAAATAACATGAGTCAAAAGAGAAGAAACAAAAACAAATACACATATTAGCGTTTAGAAAGTTTTGTTGAAGTAATTATGTGCTACACAGAATCAACCGCTCTTGAATTAATAATTGCGAACGTTCGAACATTTTCATGTCAAATAATATAAATTATAATTCTTTTCCTCATACATTTCAGTTTTCTTTTGTCAGGTCTCGTAATACATAAAACATGCGGGGTTTCAAACTTCGTGTTTGAGGTTCTTTCGTAAGTTTTCTACAGATTGTTTCAGATAATCGCTACACTAGTTACAATTTGCAATTTCAAACAGAATACTAGTTTGTCGTTATACTTAACTTTACATGTTTTAATATGTTAAATCATAACATGAATTGTTTTGTTTTTCCTGTTTGAAGATTGCTCCTGGCTATTTGTGAATAGAATTAATAAATTCAGAATTTTCCTGCTTCCTGCATGATTATTCTAACTAACGACAAAATTGTTTTTGTTCAAGATGCAAGCTCATAAACCTATATAGAAGCAGTAATAATGTTTAAAATAATAATATATAATTAAAGCAATAATAAGTATAAGTTCAAAGGTTTCAATGAGCATTTCAAGGCTCACTGTAAGAAAACCAAAACAACAAAAAACAACGTAGACAAATAATGCCAATAATCTCTTCAGTCGTCTGAAGAGTACCCATTGGATCTTCGAAACATTATTTGAGTCTGTTAACAAAGATAATCACATGTCCATTCATGTGTTGACAAACATTTATAAGCAATTTCTTAGAAAATTGGGTGCTTTTAAAATTTAATTCGAAGTAATACATGGGGCGTACAATGAATGGCCAGAATATGCAATATGTAAGGGGATAAAAAAATCATGTAATTTTTGTCTTTTTATTTTTGAGTTTTGAGCGTTCAGTCTTTTTATTTGAATTGATTTTATGTGGCTGTAGAATTTAAGATGCATATTAGTTTATTTCAACAATTTTCTAATTTAATATAAATTATTTGTTATATATATATATATATTTAAATAAGCTGTTCTGTAATACTAGGCTACGCTACTCAAAACCCAACCTTACTTAAATAAAAAGAATGTGTGTTCTTCTTATAACAAAGCCACATTGAGCTATCTGTTGCATCTACCGAAGGAAATCGAACACCTGATTTTAGCGTTGTAAATCTGTAGACTTACCGTTATTCCATCAAGGAACAATAAAAAAAATAAAAAAAGAGATTTTTGAGTGTGGTGGAAGTCTGTGGTTGAGCAAACGACACAAAAATTAAGTGAGCGTGACAAACGCAAGTAATACACTTATAATTAAATGTTATCAGAACATTCAATGTGAGATACTGGAACGGTAATACAAAAATCGTGATGTAACGGATTTTCTCTTTTAAAAGTTACGTTCTAAACGGCGAAGCATTAGAAACCAATACGCCTAGAATTTGAGATAAAAATCACGTAAATAGTTGATATCTTTTTTACATTTCTCTTCTGTTAATTTGTCCAGTTCGGATTCACAATCAGGGATGCGTAAAAAATGAACATTTATATAAATGTACTTGACTTTATTTATGGTCTTAAATATTAAACTTTCAAACCTCTCTCTTCTTATACCACTTTTACAAAATTTTGTTGTGTCTTTTTAAATTCTCATGCTATTTTGTTAAGTTAATAATCTTATTGTTTTAGTTGTTTTTCTACAATTGGTCCAGTTATCAACGCTATTTTAAAGTTTTGAACAACTCGACTTTCAAGATCTACGTATCTGCATGTGCCTATGTTTCCGTTTATCAACGTTATATTTTAAGATCTGTGCAAGAACTTAGCTAACAGATGTTTCCGCACATAAACGCTATCTAAAAGTAAAGATGTATTTCTATGGAGTTAAATAAAGGAGAAAATATTACACGTTTTAAAACTCTTCTCTCACATGCGTCACTTTTCGAGGGACGGTTGTAATAAATAGGTAAGGATACTAAAAGAAAAAAGGAATATTTCGCCATAAACTAACATAAGTAATCTTCTGTCACAATTAAGTAATCTCTAGACACTGGAACTTTTTGAATGAGCTATTGACGCATTTTTCTTATAGTTAGACATGTTACGTCTCCGTTTGTTAATTGATTTTTTTTCGTAACTTTGTTCCGACGAAATTTTAACGACACAAGTCTTTACTTAATAAAACTGGTTTATTCTTTCCGAATATAACTTTACCGAAACACTCAACTTCAACAATACCCTGTGACTGCAGTTCAATTACTCACTATCCACCCAGACATTACATTCCCCTCTTTTATATACCAGCCTACCCTATATCTAGTAAGAACTAGAACATTCGCCAAAGTACATGATAGTTCTAGAAACGTTGCGTCACAGTAGTCATGTGACTCGATGACGCAACAGACATTAAAATTATTTTCACTTGCTCCTGCTGTATGAAATTTCACCATTTCCCAAATCATGAAAAAATATTGTGATCAATAGAGTAAGAAAATAAAACTATATTAGCTTCACTACCCTGATTCTAGTTACGTTATATATTTCTATCCACAAATTATCATTTTATTTTAATATCCTCCTTTTTTTAAAATATTTTTCTTAGTTTAACTTTTGGACACTGCATTAGCAGCATATTCCACCTAAAGTTTAATAATAAAAATGTAATAAATACAAAGTAAACGAAGTTGGAAATGAATTAAATAAAGAAAAAGCCATAACCGTTAAAGTGGAGTGTATGGTTTATAAGACTATTTTTTGCATAATGGGAGTTAAGTGGATATGATGTCACTATACGGGCATATGAGTTCCTAAATTATTAGCATTAATCATAACTTAAGAAATTAAAAATATGTATTTGTACAAGGGCCAAAAGATAGTGAAGTTTTCTGGTTCTTCTCCCTTTTATAGTAATGTATGTTTTTGTTTCCCTTGAGCTTCATAAAGAGTAGCATTTGAAGATCAGAGATATAGTAAAAGACACAGAGTAATCTCTGAATAAGTGAATGGGAATTACATGACAAAAGTCCATGAAAGTATTAAAGTAGTTTTAACTCGACAACGTATGATTAAGAAAGTGTAAACAAAGGAAAAATGAAACAATATGTGTTATACGTTTTAAATGTTTAACATGACGTGATTTAAAAAAAATACAACCGTTGAACAAGAAATCATTGAAGGAGAATGACACTCAGCGAAACTGAACATTACCCCCCCCCAAAAAAAAAACACACACAACAACAACTGAAGTTAGTTACAAAAACTGAACATGCTGAAGCAATAGCTGAAAGTACGATCTGTGAAAAAAATGTGTTGACAGTGTTTGAGCTGTGGGAAATAAAATATGTAAGGCTGAATGCTAATACTAGAATGAAGTTAATTACTTTTATGATAAAGAGATGAACGAAGATTTTCGAAAATTGTTGTTTATGGGCAATTATTTGTGCTGTTATCAGATTTGCAAATTTAATGCTTAATAACATAATTGTAAAAACTGATATTATTTGAGCTTTTGTTATTATTATTTGTTTATTATTTGAGATGCTTTTGTGCAATGGTTCGTAGATCATGTGTGTTAGATAGCTCAATATTTAATTGCTTTCATATTTTTTTACAAATTTTAAATCTCTAAAGCTGAAGGTGTACTGACGAGCTCATATAAAACTATACATATAAAAAATACATATAAAACTCACTCTGTAACGCAATAATACTTTCATATAACGATGGCAGCCATTTGGTGCGTTCTTCGGTGTACGTTGAGAAGCTGCCTCTTTGTCCAAATTGCAGGAAAACAATTCTTCCTTTAATATTTATTTTTTCTTTCGGAATACAAAGTAAACTTATTTATTCACGAATAAATAAAACAAAATGAGAACATTTTTTACAGATATTTCACAACTCTGATGTTCAAAGCCAGGTTGCTTACTTTATACGCTAATCTAAAAAAATAAACATATATGTATGTATGATAGTTCAAATAATCAGAACGAAATTTCATAAAACTCGAACAAAGTAAATTATTTTGATAGCAGATGACGTGTGGAATGGATCATAAGATGGTGTATAATATGACGTCATCAGTAGACTGCTGATTCTATAAATAACATAAATTGTTTTTCTAAAAATTAGGACTTAGGTATTTATTCGAGGCAATTGTGTATTTATTTTGTTTTTCATCATTCAAAGACCTTAGTTTTGAATGTTTAATTCCATTTTTGTTTTATATTATTTTTAGAGTTCGAATAAATGTAAAATTCGACCAAATAAGTGCAAAACAATAAAGATTTTTAACCCATAAGGAAAGATAATTTATCTTCCAATCGTAACGTTAATTAAATTTACACTGAAAACCAAATATTTTTCACAAATAAAATAAAAAATCTCTTGTACTTTTTTACCTTTACTTCAGTATTGATCAGTCAATATAGTTCACAATATATAACACAGATTGAATGATCTAATCTTTAAGACAGTAAGAATATCTAAAGAGTTTTAAACAATAGCAGCGACTTCACCAAGACTTGTAAAATTAAATAACTGTTTCATATTCTGCAATCTCCTTTCTCATTGGTCTATAGTAAAGTCTTGAAGGTGGAGTTTGAGATTCATTTGTGCTACTGTGATTCCTCGTGAAGTCTCGTGGTTCTAGAGGATCAACAGAACTTGTCCTAAACGAAAAGTTAAATATTTTTGACAAAGGATTTGATTCGGTTATTTCCACCGATATAATCATAATAAACACATGTATTTGAATTATCAAAATCAAGTTTAAATACCTTTATTGTGTCAAAGGAGGAATGCGAGTATAAACTAAATATGAATTTAATGGGAAACGTTTTAAGCGTAAATTCAAGATTAAAGGTTTAGGAGATGAAGTTGCCTTTTAGAAACTACTAATGCCTCGACTCACCTGAGAAAGAGTTCTTTCTGAAGTTGTTTTAACTTAAGACGAGCCATGTCGAGTTCGTGTCGGGCTTTCCACAGTTGGGTGTCGCAGATTGGGTCTGTACATCGATGACGTTTCAACATGTCTTGAGCTTCGTACACTGCCCCACGAAAACTTAGTGATTTTCCCATGCTCTGTACGAAATGAAAATATTATACCACGCTGTGTTAAGTGTTTCAGACCATTTTCTTTTGCAGTTATTCTTATGTTGTTATAGGAGAACGAAGACCGAAATATAAACTGGTTTTGGGAAGATTATTTTTCTCGACAGCTGGATTCACTTAGTTTCACATATTAGTAGCACAGACTTGGCGAACTAACATTGAATAAGATATGCTTAGTTTCACGTATTAGCAGCATAGACTTGAATTAACAATGAGTAAGATATGTTTAGTTTCACATATTAACAGCACAGACTTGACGAACTAACATTGAATAAGATATGCTTAGTTTCAAGTATTAACAGCACAGACTTGACGAACTGACATTGAATAAGATAATACATGTTATTAGTCGCCTTAAAATGCATATTATTCGAAATAAAAGACGAAATTTATAAGGAATGATTGGCAATATTAACTAATATCATATATCATAAAATAGTGTACTGAATATATTTTACTGTATTATCATGTAAGAACATCTAGTCAGAAACTGCTGATAGCCTCAAAGCTTCAGTAAAGGTTACAAGTAATCTTATAAAGAAGTCTACAGTGATGTTCAGAATGTATTTCATACACTGTGAATATATATAAGATATATAAATGATACTAATCATTTATGGTAATACATGCCCTAATGGAAGTGGGTTATTTACGTTAGTTTGTTAATTTGTTTGAAGTATGACTGAAGGTGGTTAATTGTTATGTGTAGTCGCTGAAAAAGAAGTTTTGTATTTGAAATATACTAACAAAAGCCTTTAGTTAGTATCTATTCTGTGGTTTAATGTTGCTTTGAGAGCACATTTGAAAACAAAGAACGAGCTGGATTTTTTTCATATGGAGAAGGTAGGATTATCCTGGATCACGTAAAAGCAGAGATACTGTTGAATGCTACTTTACACATAAAACATCTCCATAGCTTTCTTATACTACAACCTGATAAAACAGCATTTGAAATACTGATATTCTGTGTGATAACTTTAAGTAAGCTTTTAAAATGCACCGTCTATGTAAATCGATTCTAGGGACGTAAATTTAATGTTGACGACATCCTACGAAGCTATGGACATGATAAGAACGCTCGGTACATCTACAGTGCTGCAATACATTTACGCAAAGAAGATAAATTTAAATTTTATAATTTCGTTTTCATAAAATTTCGAACTTAACATTTCTATAGCGAAATTTTAGATTAGTACACAAATGAATATTAAAATGAAAGATATATAGATTTTGGGTGTTATAACATACCTGCACCATTACAATTACTTGCTGTTCGAATTTGCGTAAACTAATGGAGGGGGATATTATATTCGTATACAGTAAATCAATTCATACAAAAATCCGTGATTGTAAATAACATAATAAAAACGGTCTTGTATTGAATGTTTGTTTAGTTGTAGGTCTGTCTTTAGTCATAAACCCTGACCGAATGTTCACACTTATAAACAAACCAGTGAAAAAGTACTTGTTAAATAATAGAATGTCCCTCGCCATACGGTTGTTTTAAAAGACAGAAACCTAACAAACTAAGAAGCACAAAACATTGGAATGTTTGTCACGATACGAAAATGTTAAAGAAGAGAAACTTACCAAACTGACAAGCGCAAAACAGCTACCAGTGTCCTTCTTGGCCAAATGTTGACGAATGTATTTAAAGTAAACATGCTCTAAGCCTAACAAGACTAGGGTTAAGATAACTCCACATCCAAGCAGCAGGAAGGCACTCATAAACTGGTTGGTGTCTAGGGGATTACTAGCATTCCGCTTGTTTTTAGTAGGCTTACATATACCTTGCAGCCAGAACCTCTGGAGACGGTCCAAGTCACCTGGATGAACAGATTATAGTACTATAACTGAGAGGAGTAAATGTTTTTAAGAAGTATGTATAATATTTACAGTTAAAATACTATATTAACTATGTTAAAGAAAATACAAAATAGTTTTTATAAGTTTATGTATTAGTATTTCATTTTCTAAAACACTAAACAAGCTAAATGGGATACATGTGTAAAATAATTTGTCATGTTTTGAGGGTGCATTATTTACAAACAAAATCAGAAACTTTAGCTTTCACGATTAGGAGAAGTTGATCAGAATCAAGAACGTTGTTTTAAAACTAACTTCCAGGTGGCCATTTTTATATAGGGGCTTTATTAATACTTTTTCAAATACATAATTATTAAAACTTATGTGTTGCTTTTCTTAGTATCTCTTAAATCAATTAGTTTGTTTCAAAATTTGGATCTCCTTGAATCAGAATTATGATAACGATTTAACTTTACTAAAATAAAGAACAACACATTTATATTTGGTATCCACTGTTGTGGAACAAATAGTTCGAAAAAAAAAAAAATTATATTACGAAATGTCCTTGACATACATTAGTAGATTTTACTACAATTGCTATTTTGGAAGTTTCGGAAACCTCAAACACTTTAACTAAACTGATAATTTAGACTGGATAGATACGACATTGTTACTTGTTCTGGTTAATTTTATAAAATATTAAAGAGACAGGGTTTTATAGATAAATCATTATTATACAAAATGAGCATAGAATTGCAATTTCGTTGAATACACCTAGTGGAACAGTTTCAATGTCAATATATTGCTGTAGATACTAAGAGGTCAAAGTTAGGGTGTAACTAAATTAATTTATTCGAAAGAGTTACAGGTGACATGAAGATAGACTAAGTAACAAGACTCCCCCCCCTTGAAACTGATACAGACTTTGAATCTGCAGGACACATTTATGATCAGCCAATCAATGGGTTACGTTACGGAAGATCCTGTGAATGCAACGTCTAAGGTGATTCCAAGGAATTTATATCTGGTCTTTTTTGTTGATCAATCCATGACCTTGAGATATATATATATATTGTTCTCGATACTGGCAGTATAGTGTGCTTGAACTATCGAAAGGTTGTAGAATTACGTCTAATACCACGTTAATACAAAATTCAAACGGAACATCGGTAATACATTTTGATGTCCCCCTTCCATCTTATATTGAACGTCACTGAAAACGTCGTATCTAACACATCGTTCACCCCTGGCTCTCTACCGTAAACTATCACCTGTATAATAGGGGCAGCTAAGGTTGTATCTTCTAGCGTCATCTACATTTTGGGAGCCTAATAGGGCCAAAAATGCCAGTTTTCCTTTATTTGGTTTTCATTTATTTTAACCACTTTTGTATTTATTCATACTTAACATATTGAGCTGCATTTGAATTAATTTTCACATTTACTTTTTATTCTTTGTTTTTCTATTTTCACACTTGCTATTTGTTTATTTTATTCCATCTCATAATCTTTTTTTATTTCTTGCAAATTTGTTCCATAATGCAGATTCACTCCCCAACCTCACGTTTCTCTGTTCGTATTGGCTCTGAGGAATCCAGGAAACAACCTGCTGTTTCTGAAGTAACATTTTACTTATCGTTGGATTCCGATGAAGATCTTTTTGTAGAAACGTACACCACTTTATCCTTTTTACAGCGATTTTAGACATTTCCTTGTATTTTCAGAATGTATAATTATAGTTGCATTAGTTTCTTAAAATTCTCCGTTCGCCACTAATAGGTAAAAGTGTCATATAACTGCATTGAAATAATAACTAAAATTAAAATGATCAGCAAAATAATAAACAACCAAATTAGAAGAAGAAATGATGGTATTGTCTTTCAAAGGAGAGTAGTATGTGGCAAAAATTCGTCGAAACAGCAGAACATTCCCACAACAGGACATTCGGAACACGCCCACCGAACATGTGCACGACTAAAATATATCGATTTGTGATACTGTTTCACGTGTAAGAGCATTTAAGGTTTGCCCCTTTGATATGTTTAGGATGGTGTACGTACCCAAGAGTAGAAAGAAAAATATCAATGAAAATACGATATAACGAAATTAGACAGAATTGATTTAATTTTATGTTAATTATTTTCATACATGGCTTATCTTTGATTTCTTTTAAATATTAATACTGAAATTGATCGTCGATTTAGGATGTGATAAACTATTTAACATTAATTCACAATATGTTTGTATAATTCAGTTTTGTTGCTGCTGCTAGAACAGGCTGCTGTATAAAGATCCTCTGTTGGGTACGCATATAATACGCTTGCTATTGATAAATAAAAGCTATTAAAAGTGCTTAACTAACGATTGAATACAATAACTTTTCCTGATTATAAATCATGAGCATTAGTTTGTTTCTTTATCTTATTTGTTACATCTTCCAAATTTTCCAATGCACTTTATTTCTCTACCGGTTCCCCTCATCGACGAAAATTGTTTATGGAGAGACGGCATGATAATTCAATCTTAAGATAGTAAACTATGAGTTATTAACAAATAGAAGGACTAGAGCTTCACAGTGTTCTAGTATCGTCGCTTCATACTCGTGAGAAGTCTAAAAAATTAGTTAAATGTAAAGTAGAAAAATGTCTCCTATCCTATATCTAGTAAATGCTAGAGCATTCGCCAAGGTACAGGATAGTTCTAGAAAGCAGAGGGCGTGAGAATAGTCACGTGATCTCGCTGACGCAACACATCCAATTGTTATAATTCTGACAGCTTTACTCTAGAAAGAAACTTAATCGTTCTATACAGGATTTGTATTATATTTAATGCACTGTGCAGTACCTCACGTGCATCAACAATTTCTTTGTTGAATTAGTTGTTTCTATTCATAAGTTTTAATGGTTTATTTTATGGCTGACAAACATGCTGATATGTATGCCTATTTTATAAACTTAAATAAAAATATTCAATCTAGAACGGAACAATACATGATATGTTTTTTGTGTGTGTTTATTGTGAATGTTTATAAGTGCCAGGATATAACATATTTTCCAGTATTATGTTCAGTTGTCATGATATCACAAGATTCATACTATGACTCAAACGTTTTCAAACATTTACCACAAATGTTGCTTATACACACACACACACTAAAGCGTGAACAGTACACAAATATTAGATTATTTAGGCCGTTGTTATGACTTCATATAAAAGTAGAATAGATAAATTACCCATTTTTCTTAATAAGCTATAGACTCCCAACTTGTCAAAAAGTGTTCGGTTAAATAGGCGGCTTGATAAATGCTATCAAACTAACCATCAGATGGCGTGGCTCAAATTTAAATAAACTTGTAGAATTTAGAGATAAGGATAGGTGGGCCGTCTTACCGATATGAGGTCTTTATAATGACTTCAGTTATGTTTGTCTACTGGTTCGCTAAGAAGAATACTGACGTCGAGTACCAGTCGCTTTCTCATTTTCAGTTCTTATAAGTTTTTGAAAAAAGGTATTTTATATGGAAAAACAAATGAATCACGTGATGTGCTGTATTTCTTTATCCAAGGAGCATATGTGTAGTTTCTTCGAATATGGTAAATATAACAAAAAATACATCATAAATAAATATAATATATATATATATATATATATATATATATATACATATAAAATACAAAATTAAAAGTTAAAGGAACTTTAAGATCTGGATATGCAAAAAACAACA